AAAATAAGTGGTCCTTTATAAATTGTAGAGGTTTTCACGCTGCATCTGGTGCTTGTATATTTTGTTTTTCTAATAAAAGGTATTAAGTGATGATAAAATTAAATGCAAAAGTATTCCACTCACTATGACCTAATGATACCAGCTAGTTTTCAACAAAAAGTAGTTCTTATCGAAATTTTTATTATTATGATATTAGTTGTTGTATGATCAAATGACATAGAAAAATAGAGCATTTTTTTCTCAATCAGACTATACAGAGAGAAAGTTTTCTCAAGGCTTCTATACAAAATTAAGATATGAGGGGGTCACTATTTTTGGTATGCCCTGACGAATTCATCCTCTTTAAGTAGATGATATGCTTTAGAAAAACGACAACAATTTAAATCACATTTAGATATATCTATTCTTGTTTGACCTAAGGAATTTGTTATTGATGATACAAATACTGAATTGTTTTTAGCTGATATTGTTGACAATGCTGATAAATTATTTTTTCTTGTTGTTGGTTATAATAGTATTAAATCATTTATTGTTGCTCATGATGATGATGTTGAACTGTTTTTTGTTGATTCTAATGATGATGATGTTGAATTGATTGCAGTTGATATTGTTGATAACGGTATTGTATTATTTTTTCTTGTTGTTGGTGATAATAACACGAAGTTATTTCCTGTAGATGCTAATGATGGTATTGAATTGTCTGTGATTAATGTTTTCTCAGACTTATCAAGTCTAAATTGATTTGCAGATTGATCATAGCTTTTCTGAAAATTATTAATATTAGACAAACTTGATGGGTCTCTATGAAATGAAAGCTGAGTAAGAGCAAAAGTTTTCCTCTTTTCATCTCGTAGACTTGTTGAAAAATTATTAAAATCACTTACAGTCATTTATTTTATAGAATCTTCTGCCGAAAGAGATTATCCCTGACCTTCTACTTTTTTTTTGTAAAATATTCAAGAATCAATCGAGATCGATTTGATGACTTTTTTTTAATCTGAAATTTCAAGTCAATCAGAATATCTAGAACATTTTCGATCCTGTTAACATATATAAACACGCACATAGCATCTAATTTTTATCAGTAAAAATGGAATACTGAATTCATTTTTATACAATATTGATAAGCTTATGAAACGAAATTGATCAAGAAAATCCAGTAAGTTGATATTTAGATAAGCTACGCAATAAAATTCTTCAGGCTTTGTTGTTCAAGTTTCAGAAAGATTTTAAGGCTATATTTCACAACACAAGACGAATAACAGGATTACATTTAAAAAAAAGAGGATGATCTCTGAGATTTCCCTTGGTTTCGTGTGCATGATATTCCATAATTTTACGATTCGTTTATTTTACACACCATTCCATCTAAACGAAAGGTATCGCTGTAAATCATTACTATGCAATCCAATCACTAAGTCCAAGTTGATTATATTGTTCAAGTTTTTTTCTATTCTTTTTCATACCAATAAACATATAAACCCTGCCAGATATGAATTTTCAAAGTAGAATAAGATTTTATTTATAGGAAAATTTGAAGTTATATAGAAACCATTAAACTTCAAACTCGCAATTTTGGTGAGACTTAACCTACAGAAGCCAAAATCAGGTGAGACATGAGCCTCATCGAGCCTACAGACTCCGCCGCCACTGATTCAAAACTTGAGGAATTCTCTGTAAAACTATCCCAAAAACCCAAAAGCCCAAATTTGATCCCATTTCTAAATCATAGATGAAATTTTTGTGAATTTTACATAAAACTAGCCCGAAAAGCTAAAGGCAAAATTTGATCCCAATGATAGGTTCTAAACCCAATTCTGACTAATTTTATATAATAGTAGCCAAAAACAGCAAACCGAAATTTGATCCGAATTATACATTACATGTTAAGGTTCGCCTAATTTTATACAAAAGTCGCCTAAAACGCTAAAACCAAAATTTGATCCCACTTATAAATTATAAGTCAACCTTTCGAGAATTCCAAATAAAACTAGCCCAAAAACCCCAAGCGAAACTTTTATCCCAATTATAACTTATAATTTCAATTTTGGCTAATTTGATCTATAAGTAGCTGAGAAAACGAAAGCCAAAATTTGATCCCAGTTATAAATTATAAATCAAACTTTGCCTGTTTTTACTCCAAACTAGTTCAAAAAGCGTCAGCGACAATTCTAGCATATATATAAATCTTAATTCGAGTTTTGCGGAATTTTCATCAAACTAGCCCAAAAACCAAAGGAAAAATTTTATCCCATTTCGAAATTATATTTCAAGCTTGGCTAATATTATATAAAACTAGCCTAAGAAGCCAAAGCCAAAATTTAAGCCCAATTATAAATTATAATTCAAATTTTCGCTGACTTTCCAACAAACTAGCCTAAACAACGCAAACGAGAATTCTAGCGTATTTAAAAGTGTTAATTCAAGTTTTGGGGAGTTTTCATAAAACTAGGTCTAAAAACCAAAGCGAAATTTTATCCCATTTATAAATTATAAATCAAATTTACGTAAGTGAAGTTGGCCCCCCATTCGAATAAATCCTGCCCCAATTCGCCTAGGAACTTGTTCCAAGTCTCTTATTCTTGTTCCAAGTAAAACTCGATGAGCTCTATCCAATGGTATAATTGGAATTTTTATAGTGCAAACTATGTAGTCGAAATGTCCAAAAAAACGGATTTTTCACTATAGGACTCATGAACCCATTTCCAAAGATCCTGCCCCGATTTGCTCTGAAACTTGTTACTAAGTTGCTATTCTTGTTCCAACTAGAACTCGATGCGCTCTATCCAATGGTATGCTCAGATCTTACATAGCTCGAAGTATGGCTTTTCTGGTGATAGATGGCTCTAGTGAGAATCTGAAAAATCATACTTCGAGCTGTCTAAGATCTGAGTATAACATTGGATAGAGCTCGCCGAGTTCTACTTGGAACAAGAATAGCAGTTTTGGAACGAGTTCTTGACCGAATCGGGGCAGGATCTACAGTAGGAGGCTGATCGAACAGCGTAAAAAGTCAGTAATTTGGATTTTTTGACCATACAATTTCAGTTATAAAAAATTTAATTATACCACTGGGTAGAGCCCATCGAGTTGCACTTCCAAAAAGAATACCCGCTTTGAACCAAGTTCCTGAGAGAATTGAGGCAGGATTTATGCTACGGGATTCATGGATTCTAGAGTAAAAAGTCAGTATTTTGGACTTTTTCACCATACAGTTTCAACTATGAAAAATCAAATTGTACCATTAGATAGAGCTCATCAAGCTCTACTTGGAACAAAAATAGAAGCTTTGTAACAAGTGCTTGGACGAATTGGGGCAGGATCTACGCTACAGAGTCGATGACTCATAGGGTAAAAAATCAGTATTTTGGATTTCTTGACCACATGGTTTGAGTTATAAAAAACGTAATTATGCCATTAAATAGAGCTCATCAAGCTCTACTTGGAACAAAAACAAGAGCTTTGGAACAAGTGCTTGGACGAATTGGGGCAGGATCCACGCTACAGAGTCGATGACTCATAGGGTAAAAAATCAGTATTTTGGATTTTTTGACCACATAGTTTGAGTTATAAAAAATGTAATTATGCCATTGGATAAAGCTCATCGAGTTGTACTGGGAACAAGAATAAGAGTCTTGGACTAAGTTCCTGAGCGAATTGGGAGAGGATTTACTTAACTACGCCCATGGGTCTGATATTGAAAAGCTGCTTTTTTTGGAGTTTTTGACCGCATAGTTTACGCTACCATTAATCAACTCATGCTATTAGATAGAGCTCATCAAGCTTTACTTGGATCAAGAATAGGAACCTTGGAATAAGTTCCTAGGCGAATTGGGGCAGGATTTACTCGAATAACGAGCAACTTCATTTACGTATCAGATTTTGGTTAATTTTTGATATTAATAATACCCTAAAAAGCCAAAGCGAAAATTTGATTGTAGTTATAAATTGTAATAGAAATTTTGGCTGTTTTTAGGCCAAACTAGCCCAAAAAGTGCAAGCGAGAATTATAGCGTGTTTATAAATCCTAATCCAAGTTTTAGGGAATTTTCATAAAACTAGCGCAAAAAGCCAAGGCAAAAATTGTATCCCATTTATAAATTATAATGCAAATTTTGGCTTATGTTATATAGAACTGGCCAAAGTAGCGGTAGCCAAAATTTTTTTGGCGGTTATGGATTATAATTCAAATTTTTGCTGCTTTCATATAAAAATAGCCTAAAAGCCAAAGTTCCGATTTGATCCCAATTATACATTATTGTTGAAATTGTACAATGTCGACCTCTGCATCATAGATGAGTATGAGCATTTTTCGTGATCTTTATCTTATCGTATTCCACTGGGCAGAAGGCTTATTCCAAAAGCTTCGTGTTTTGGTTGGTCGATTCAAGATCAGGGAGAGAAAAAAGTCAAGCGGAGAAAAGGTGAGAGAATGAGTAGGAAGCGAAAAAAAGAGAGAAAGATGGCCGAGTGAGAGAAAGAGAATAGGAAAGAGAAGTGAGAGAGAAAGAGAGAGAAATTACGAGACGATAGGCAGAAAATTATAGAGGAAGAAAATGAGAGAAAATAAGAGCAAGAGCAACGTAGGAGCTGACGGTATAAAAGCGACGAACATTGTTGATAATTTCAGTTTTCGTCGTTGAATATTACAAATCAAGCAAGTAAAAAGTAAGTGCTGTATTTGCATAATTTACACTTTCATAGTACTTTTTATTACTTACACTGGCACAGTGCTTCGTATTACTTACAGTGTCATAGTAGTTTTTATTATTTAGTTCGTTGTAGTACTAGTTCATGTGGGATTTTACTTATTTCGTTTCTGAAAGCTAGATTCAAACTTTTTAAGTTAAATCTTTTTTTTCGACTTCTTCGAATCCCAAAGTGAGTATACACATCAGTTGACCATATATATCAAAGTCGAAACCTGAATTCAACTATTGAATACATTGAACAATTGAATAGTTGAATTCTATTATTCAATTACGGAATAGTTGAAGCTCAGTTATTCAATGGATTGAACAAGTGAAGTTCAACTATTCAATATACTAAGTAATTGAACTGCAACTATTCAATACATTGAATAATTGAACATCAACTATTCGATACAATAAATAGTTGAACTTCAACTATTCAATACATTGAATAAATGAACATCAACTATTCAATATATTAAATAACTGAACATCTACTATTCTATATATTAAATAGTTGAACCTCAACTATTCAATATATTAAATAATTGAACTTCAACTATTCAATCCATTGAACAGTTGAACATCAACTATTCAATATATTAAATAATTGAACTTCAACTATTTAATATATTGAATAATTGAACATGAACTATTCAATCCATTGAACAGTTGAACATCAACTATTCAATATATTAAATAATTGAACATCAACTATTTAATCCATTGAATAATTGAACATGAACTATTCAATATAATGAATAGTTGAGCTTCAATTATTCAGTATATTAAATAATTGAACTTCAACTATTCAATATATTAAATAATTGAACTTCAACTATTCAATATATTAAATAACTGAACATCTACTATTGTATATATTACATAGTTGAACCTCAACTATTCAATATATTAAATAATTGAACTTCAACTATTCAATATAATAAATAGTTGAACTTCAACTATTCACTCCATTGAATAGTTGAACGTCAACTATTCAATATATTAAATAATTGAACTTCAACCATACAATATATTAAATAATTGAACATCAACTATTCAGTATATTAAATAGTTGAAGTTCATCTATTCAATACATTGAATAACTGAACTCCAAGTATTCGATATATTGAATAATTGAACATCAACTATTCAATATATGAAATAATTGAACTTCTACTATTCAATGCATTGAATAA